CCTCGGGTCTTGGTCTGGTGGGCCTGCAGTTACGGCTGGGTCCTGAGGGACGAAGGCGAGGGAACCCGGCCTTGACTAGGAAGGCTTCCCGGAGGTAGTGGCGGCGCAGGTGAAGGGTGGAGGTAAGTGACAGTTAAGTAGGTGAAGGGGTGCGAGGTTGCGGGGGGGGGGGCAGCATGGACAGGCCGGGTGGGAGGGTGGCGGCCACGTGTCCCCCACAGTTCGTGTGTGGCCGTCTTGACCCCCAGACTTCGAGTGTGACGCTGCTTAGAGGCAGGTCGTGCAGGCTCATCAAGTGAGAGGGGTCTTGGGTGGGCCCTGATCCACGTGACTGTGTCCTTGAGAACAGAGGCCTCCGAGACGGACCCGGCGCACCCGGAGAGCGCGGCGAGGTGAGGGCAGTGGCCTGAGGAGGAGCCGGCCTGCTGCCGCCCTGACAGACTGGCGTCCAGAATGGTGAGGAGATAAACTGCTGTCTTTAAGCCGCCCAGTTTATGGTGCGTTGTTTCGGCAGGGACAGGCACGAGTTCGGGGAGGGGGGCTAACCGGGATCCAGGAGCTGAAGGAAGCATCTTGTGGCCAGAGCGCAGGGACCCAGCGGGTGCGGGGTACTCTGGGGGGCAGACCACGCAGGGCCTTTACCGTGAAGCGGCGGGGGACACGGAAGGATTTGAGGTGGGAGAGTTTCACATTCAATGCCAGGTTCGCATTTTGAAAGACTGCTTTGGCTACTGAAGAACAGAGCAGATAGACGTGAGACCGCTCAGAAGGCCGCGGCGGAGGTCAGGTGGGACGTGGTAAACCCTTCAGCGGGGATGGTGGGGCCTCACTTGTCCCTCCTCTCCTCCAAGCACAGCTGAATACCCTGCGGGAGTTCAGCAGACAGTGGGCACGGGCTCGAGCTGGGAAGAAGACAGGCTGGCCGGGGACCCCAGCACCCGAGGAGTGGTCACGGGCTGGGTCCCCGGCGTGTCTTTCTCACTTGCAGGCTCCCGGCGTGGGTGCCCAAGGAGCAGCCAGAGCTGCAAGCAGGCTGCTGAGGGTGCTGCTCAGCTGCTTCTGGAATCCGTGGTCTCTGCCCAGCATCTGTCCTGTGTGGCCCGGTCCCTGCAGGGCCTTGCACTGGCAGGAGCCTTCCCTCCAGGGCATGTCCCTAGGTGACAGCCCGCAGAATCAGCAGTACACCTGAGTTGTTGGTGTGACTGCCCAGCACCCTCCTGACAGCCTCCCTCTCTCACGTCCAGGGCTGTCCCCAGTGTGCCCTTTCGATAAAACCCCTGAGAGGCTTACAGAGACCCCACTCCTTCTGGTCTGAACTGACCCATCCAGTGTTAGCCCAGGGACCCCAAAGCCCTCCCCTAGGGACCCTAGTTAAGCTGTGTGCCCTGGGCGTGTCGCTCCCTCTGCCTGCTCCCTGCTTGACCTCCTCCCTGACCTGTGAGTCAAGCTTTACTGTCCCGCTTCGTCTTAAGGCCTTTGTTGAACCGTCAGACACCCTGGCTCTACCTGACAGCTGTTACTTTGGCAAAGGCATAGCACAGGCAAAACGCTGCAAGAGAAGCCACCTCCCTCTGGCCATGGGACTGGGCTGGGGCTGGGGGTGATAGAGACCTAGCAGGCAGCCCTGCCCCGCCCCGCAGACTGCCCTCTGTGACAGCAGCGATGGCCCTGCAGCCCGCCTGGCCCTGCTACACAGCTGTGGTGCTGGTGGCGCTCCTGGACTCCTGCCTGCGGGAGCACAGAGCCCCGGGCCTGGCAGGTGCTGCCCTCCCCCCAGAGCAGTCGCAGGACACCGGGCAGCCTAGTGCCTTCCGATGCTGCAGGTGGTACCACCAAAGATGGAGCTGCAGCCAGGGCAGCACCAGGAGGGCGTTGCAAGGGCTGCGAAAATATAACTGTCTCTGGGACCACAGGCCACGACTCGGCTGGAATCTACACACTAACCCTAGCAGAGCGACTTCCTGCTGAAATATAAGATTTAAAAGAAATCAAGACTCTTCGAACTTAATAACCAGAATGTCTAGGATACACTAAAAAGTCTCCTGTTACGCTGGGAAAACTATCCTGTGAATGTGAAAGCAAATGAACTGACGTGAATGCCAAGATGAACAAGACTTGGGGTCATCTGATGAGGATTTTTAAAGCAGTCATAAAAATGCTTTTTAAAATTTGTATGAATTCTTTTGAGACAGATGAAAATAGAAGATCTTAACAAAAAAATAGAAGCATTAAAAAGAGCCAAGTGAGAAAGAAAAATACTAAATGATTATCACTTATATGTGAATCTTAAAAAAAAATCAAACTTATTTACAAAACTGAAACAGACTCACATACACAGAAAACAAACCTGTGGTTATGGGGGAGGGGAAGAGGGTGGGAAGGGATAAATGGGGAGTTTGTGATTTGCAGATACTAACGTATAGAAATAGATAAGTAAGTTTATACTGTACAGCACAGGGAACTATATTCAATATCTTGTAGTAACTTACAGTGAAAGAGGATGTAAAAATGAATATATGTATGTTTCTACGTGACTGAAGCATTGTGCTGCACACCAGAAATTGACACAACACTATAAACTATACTACAGTAGAAAAAAAGAACCAAGTGGAAATTACAGAATTGAAAAGTACAATGACCAAATTAACGTGTCCACTGCTGGGCACAGTGTGTCCGTCACTGGATGGACATAGTGACAGGAAAGAATCAGGGAACTCGAAGGTAGAGCAATGAGATTTACACGATCTAAGCAAGAGAGGGACGGTAAGTGGACGAGCCTCGGATCTGCAGGACGGTGAGTGTTTCCACCAGAGTCTTAGAACAGGGAGAACGTGGGCTGAAAAAGTGTTTGAAGATGGATGAAAACTTCCCGAATTTGGTGAAAGACGAACCCACACATAAAAGGAGCAGAGGAAGTCCTAAGTGGTATAAGCCCTCTAGAAATTCACACGAAGACACATCATAATTTAACTTCTGAAAACTAAAGACAGAGAAAAACAAATGTAAAACAGCCCTAGAGCGGAACACTGGTGTGAAAGGTGGCAGATTTCTCGTCTGAAATCACAGTGGAAGGAAGTGTTGAAGGAAAAAAACTGTCCGCTGAATCTTCCATCCGGCGAAACGATCCTTCAGGGCTAAACGCGGACACTGACGTTCTTGGACAAAGGCAGGCCAAGAGAACTGTTGCTGGTAGACTTACTCTGGAGGATGGACCAAAGGAAGCTCCAAACACGAAGGACCTTGTCGCTGAAGGCTGGGCCTTCCGGAAGTTACGAACAAGGGGGAGGGTGAAATGGAAGTAAACGTGACCACCTTTCACCTCACGAGCTTCCTGGATCGCACCCGTTGGTTGAAGCGGAAGTTGTAACACTGATGTGCTCAGTGCACGTGGAGGAAGTATTTACGACAGTTGTGTTTGAAGAGCGAGAGGGGTGAAGGGCAGTTTCTACCCTGTGTTGGACGTGGTAAAATATCGAAGCCAGTAGGCTGATGATCACACGTGTGTGTGGGAGTGTCTAGAGCAGCTGCAAAGAAAAGTAAACAGTGATGTACTCAAGACATCAGGAAGTGGGAATCTAAAAGATCTGCACATTTCCCACAATAAAGGGAAGGGAGAGGGAATGAACAGAAGTAATAAAACAGCAGACTTAAGCCCCAGTGTGTCTGCAATTACTTTAAATGTAAATGTCCTACACACACCAGTTAGAAGACAGAGGTTGGCAGAGGGAATAAAGAGCCACAACCCAACCGCCTGTCGTCCACCGTGTGCTGAAACTCCCTCCACACACGGCGATGTGGGAAGACCGGAAGTGGAAGGGCAGGACGAGGTGTGTCCTGTAAACATTCATTTTTAGAGACAATAATCAATACCAGCCTGCTGAGGCTGCAGAGCAGGTGAAACTTCTAGGGGAAAAGGTCCACTGCGTAACAAAGGGGCCTGTCCACCAGGAAGACCCGCCACATTTGCAGACTTTGGTGACCCAGACAACAGGCCTTCACAGCACACACAGTGAAAGCTGGCAAAGCTGGAAGGGGGAGACCAACCCCCAATCACAGGTGAAGGCCTTGACCCTCACTCTCAAGGGTCACACTCTTGGACCTTCCACAAGGACGTAGGACAGTGGCGGTGGACACTCGCAGAACACCCCATGCAGCAAGGGCAGAATGCACGTTGCTCACAGGCGCCCAGGAAGAAGCCAGGGCAGGACGGATCCTGGGCCACAAAACAGCTCAGCGACCGTAAAACAAGTGCCGTCACACAGCGCGTGCTCTCAGACAAAAATGGAGTCGAACTAAAAATCAGGGACACAGAGCCAGCAGGAGGGTCTTCAGATGCGGACACTGATTTCTCTGGTCTACTTGGTAGAAGAATGGAAGGGACTGTTGGTGCGTGCGAGAGCTCGGGTGCGTCTCGGGCCCACGCTGAGCAAATGGAGACGTGAAAGGACGTGGTGCTCGGTTCCTCTTGTGTGACGTTCATGAGGCAGTGTAATTCCAGGGACGGGGGGCACACTCGTGGTCTCCAGGGGCTTGGGGTGGGGCTGGGGGTGACTTTCCAGGCACCTGTTGTAGTGACGGTTCTTGAGTGTCCTCACATTGGTGGTGGCTCCAGGAACACTGAGGGGCCCCCGCCCTCCTGTCCCCTTTCCCCAGACGCTCTTCCAGACTGAACAGAAATAAACAGGCAATAGAACAGAAGGACCAGTACGTGAAAGTAGGTGAAAGATGCCTGCAAAAGGAGAAGAGTGAGCAACACGAAACAGGACAGGAGGGCGGAGGAGAGGAAGGCGTGCGCGGTGGAGGCAGAAGCGCCGGTTAACAGACGTCCCGGGAAAGGGTGTTTAATGGGGGAGTGGGGACAGATTTTCCAGAGCTCAGATCGAAGGGCCCACCCAGGGCCAGAGAGGCACTCACGTTGGCTTGTTGTGAAACTGAATGTCAAAGACAGGAATTCGTGAGACTGTCAGAGAAAAAGAATAGGTTGCCTTCAAACGAACAAGAATCAAATTGGTATCAGGTATTTTTCGAGTCTGCAAATACCTTTATTATTGCTTTCAGTTGACTGAAAAAAAAGCTGATTTTTTTCCTTCCAACAACAAAATATACAGACAAATCTGAACACAGTAAAAAAGAATAATAAAGGTAGAACAGAAAGTAGCCAAACAGTGAAATGAACACACGACAGAGAATGCCATTAAAACCAAGAGTCTGTCGTTTTTAAAGGTGAATAAAATCGATGACTCCCTTGTCAAGACTGCAGGGGAAAAGCTCAGAGGCACAGATTCCAGCATGAGTATGAAAGGGGGCATCAGGGAGGGTTCTAGGCGCTTTTTAAAAGATGCTATAGTGATGCAAACCACTTCAGGCCAAATAGTTTATGAAGTAGAGGACGTTCTAGGAAAAGATAATTTACTAAAACTTCCACAAGATGAAGTAGAAAGTCAGGAGAGTCTACTAGCTATGGAAGAAGAATTTATCATTTAAAAGCTTCCCACAATAAAGGCTGTTAGCACAAACGGCATTCCCAGCAGACACTTAAGGACGCTTGCTTGGCAAGGCGGTAACTGCCGTCTGAAACGGGGGGCAGGGGTGTCTCCCCGCTCTTGTGAAGCCGGCACCGCAGCCGTGATCCCAGAAGGTGGCCAGGACATCCCAGAAAGGAACGCTGTGGAACAGCCTCTTGCGCTGAACCCAGGTGCGAGGTCCTAAACAAAACCGCAGATTAAATCTGCAAATGAGGCATTTTATGAAGGATGCTACGTTGTGACCAGACTGAGTTTATTCCAGGGGTGCAGGTTAGTTTTTTAACATTAAAGGTTCATATAATTGACCACATTTTGAAAAAAGGGGAAGACTCGTGATCATCTCGGTAGATGCAGATAAAGCATCTGATGAAATTCGACACCTGTTTATGATGAAAAAACTTAGGAAAAATTAGGAATAGGAGGGAAATTCTATAAGGCACGTCTCCAAATATTCCACAGCAAAAAAGCACATTAAGTGTGGCTGTTTCTAGAGCAGCCCGCTTTTCTCCCCACCTTTTCCCACTGAAGTTGAACCTGAGCTGGCCTGGAACTCGGCCGTTAGACAGGGTTGGAAATGGTGCTGAGCCGCGGCCATGCCTGGTGTCGAAGGTCTGGCGAGCACCTCACCTGTCTGGATGCTTATTGCAAAAAACAGAAACTAACACAGGTTTGGGAGCACGTGGAGGAATTGGGACCCTGGTGCATCGCTGGTGGGATGCAAAGTCCCGTGGCCATCGTGGAAATGGTGTGGTGGGTCCTCACGAGGTCTGCGGAGGGTCAGCACGTGGCCCAGCGGTTCTGCGTCCGAATGTGCTGCTGGAGGAAGGGAAAACGGGGCCCACGGGGTCTGCACACCCAGGCTTGGGGCAGTGGCCTCAGCACAGCTGAAGGTGGGGGCAGCCCGGGCTCCTCGAAGGGTGAGTGGATAGACTCCTGTGTACACGTGGGATATGTTTACACTCACGTATGTGTACGTGTGAGTGTGACTCAGCTGTAGACAGGAATGCGGTGCTGACACCTGCTACCAGCAGATGGACCTCAGAAAGGCTGTACAGAGTGGAAGACGCCAGACTGCAAAGGCCACACGTCTGGTTCCACTTCTGTGAGGCACGTGATGTGGCCTCAGCCACGGTGGCCTGGGGGCTGGGAGTTCGAGTTGCCAGAGGCTGTTCTGATGCAGGAGTGGTCGGAGCCCGATGGGCAGGTTTGGGGCCTGTGGCTGGGAGAGAAAGGGACAGAGAAAGCGGGCTCTCTCTCCTTTCCCAGCCCGCTCCCCCACCTCGCTGGGGAGGGTGCTCTTTCTCTACATCACGTTGGGGCTTTAGTTGTCTCATAGTCCTGGACACTTACAGTGACTGAGATGGCACCGGGTTTGTGTCTCAACGTGACCGCAGAGCTTTGAAATCTCTGTGTTTGAGCCCAGATGTGGTGGAGCTGTCCAAACGTGTCCGTAGGGTCAGAGAAGGAGCTTCCTCCACTGAATACATTGTAACTAGTCGGCAGAGGTAAGGAAACAGCGGGAGTCTCCTCCTGGCGTCCTCGTTCCGTGTCCCGCTTACGCATGCCTTTTAAACCAGCACAATAAACTGATTCCAGCGATGCACCTGGGTGGCTCGCTCACGTCTCACCCAGCCGGCGCTGGGGGCACGCGGCGCTCCGATGGGCCCGTCGTGGCTCAGGCACGTGCAGCTCCTCCTCACGGAGCTGGTGGCTGGCTCTTTCTCTCCAAACTGTTTTCTGCCTGGTACAAGGCCACCACTGTCACGTGCAACATCCCTGTAAACGTGTGGCTTTGGTTCTTTGTTCCGATCGCTCAGCGTTTGTTCCTTCAGCTGCCGGATTCACGTGTCTGGATGCTTTTATCCTTGTGACGTGTTTTCGGTTTGGCCTTGCTCAGTATTGCGTGCTTCCTCCCGCCCCAGTGCCCCAGCCACTAAGACACAGCAGGCTTGCCGGGTGGATGTGAACAGTCCCTGTCTCAGGCTGGAGGCTGGACGTCCAAGATCAAGGCAGGAGTCCTGCCTGAGGAGGACCCGCATCCTGGCTTGTGGATGGCGCCTCCTTGCAGTGTCCTCACGTGGGGAAGGGGCCAGGGGCTCTCTGGGTCCCTCCTAAAAGGGCACCAATCCCGTCCCGGGGGCCCCACCCTCATGACCTCATTGCCCCAGAGCCCCGTCTCCTGACACCTTCACGCTGGGGGTTAGGATTTAAGGTGCAAATCTGGGGGACGCAAATACGCAGCCTGTTCCTGGAGCTATCTCCTGACACTGGGCACCAGCGCAGGCGTGAGGTGGGCCTGTCTCCCTCGAGCCCTGAGCAGCAGTTACCAGTCTCTGCAGACGATGCACTGCAAGCTCGGGGACTTCCACTCACCAGTTATCAGAGTGTGGGTCAGGAGTCCAGGCGTGTCCACTGGGCGGTGGCCTCCAGGCCAGGGCTGGGGCCTCCTCTGCGAGCCTCCTCTGGGGTCCTCTGCCTGGGGGCTGCCCACCACTCCCACAAAACCCCACCGGGAAGCGACGCTTAAGTCAGATTTATCGACTTGTGTGGCAAAATCTGTGTGAGCGCTCACATCCAGGCCTAAAAGCTGCAGAGTAGAGGGCGCTGCTGCTGTGCCTCCTCTGTCTCTCGGGGACCGACGTTTCCTCGTCCCAGCTCCCACTCTCCCTCCCCCTGGGTCTCTGTCTTCCATCCCCCGGGGAGGAATTAGCTGACTTCCCGAGGAGTGGGCGTGGCTGGAGGAACAGTGATTAGTGCACTGCAAGCTCGGCTCCCAGCCCCCTGTCCCCCAGATCCTCATCTGTACGCTGGGGCTGAGAGTTAATTCACCTTGATTGAGGTTCGGTGGCCCCTCCAGGTAGGGTTCCTGGCTCAGAGTCCTCCCAGAGTGAGTCCTCCCTGAGTATCCAGCACTTACCCTCTGGCCCCTCTGCAGGTGGCCCCAGCCCCGCGCTCACACCGGGGGTCGGCCTGCAAGGCCAGGAGGTGGACGGCCAGCAGATGTTGGTCTGTCTCCTTGCCCTGCAGGGTGGACAACAGAGACACTGCCTGTGCCTGCCTGGGGCTCCCCGCAAAGCAAACAGCCTCTGCAGGTCACGCAGGAGCACTTGGGACAGGGCTGCAGTGTGCAGGGAGCCCCGGGCGGGGCGGCACCTGCAGAGGCCCAGCCTCATCGGCAGGTGAGGGAGCCCCAGGGAGGGTTCCCCACGGAAGTCACGTCCAGGCTGTCTTTGCAGGTGAGCTGGTGTTGGCAGAGCCAGGAATTTGGGGCGGGCGATGGTTGGAAAATAATGTGGCTTTGAAGTTGTTTTTTTCAAGACTTGATCACTCGGGCTTCAGGGGAGTAGTAGCGTGGGGATGGGCCCCCTCCCTGTGGTGGGGGGGCACGCAGACCAGCGCGACTTGCTGGGACTTTCGAATGATGTGATCATCTTCCTAGGAAGATGTGGCTGTTTGGACACCTTGTGAGACCAGATTTGTCTCTGTCCAGTGGGGTGGTGACCTCAGCCTAGCTGTGCCCCACCCGTGGTCCACACGGTTTCTGACCCTGCCCCGGGAGGGATGTCCCTGCGACCACCACAGATCATTTTTGGGGGCTGTCTGGAGGGACGGGGGGTCATGTACTTCAGGGTGGGTCCACATGGATACTTCTCAGTCACAGAAACCACGGCGTAGCCAACACGGACATTTCCTAGTTCACACAGCTGGGAGGCCCAGGGGGCAGAGCTGAGCAATAGCCAAAGGTTTCAATTGCTTGTGGGTTGAAGTTTCGATTCTGTTGAGACTGGACTTCAGTTCCCCAAAGTGACTCTTTCAGTGACTGGGGCAGGTGCCAGTGTACCTGAGGTGTGGGCGAGGCCAGGCACACGTTGAGGGAGAGGGATGGGGAGCAGAAAGGGGCTCTGAGTGTGACCACCTGCGTGCGTCTGTGACTTTCCCTTCAGCTGCCAGGAGGGAGCTGGCCCGCATCAGCCCTGCTGGGGAGCTTGCCTGGCAAGGCTGCCCCCACGGTGGTGTGCCTGTGTGGGTGTGGGAGCAGGGACAGGTGAGCCTGGACAGCAGAGCAGAGGCCTTCCCCTTCAAGGCCTGGGTCCCTCCCCCTCTCCTGGGATTCAGACCACTAGGGAAGGGGTGGGGACCCCCAGCTGCCTGAGATGCAGTTTCCTCCTCCACCCGGCAGGATGAAGGCAACAGCGAATGAGGGCTTCCCTTTGCTGCAGGCCCGGCCTTGTGGGTTAGGACATCACCAAGGGCCTCTGCTGGCCTCAGTGACCTCCTGGATGCCCATGGGTGGTGGCAAGAATTTAGGATGACCCTGCGACTTCCCCCGGGGCATCTGGGTGAAGCTGGTGCCCTTAAACCAAGAAAAGGAAATCAGCTAACCTCTCCCGAGGGTGGCCTGGGCCTGCCTACCACCCCTGCAGGCCCTGAGCTGAAGACAGACCCTGGAGGACAGGCTGGTGCCTTGCACGTGTGTACATGGGACATCCCAGGTGTGGAGGGGGCTGGCCATCACCCTGAAGCCCCACAGGCTGCAACCAACGGGGGTGGGGGGACAATCGCAGGGTCCCCAGTGGAGGGAGTTTGGGGGTGGCAGTGGTGTCCTGACCAAGCTACACAGGGATCTGTGTGTCCAATGTGAGGCCTGTCAGCCCCAAAGCCCAGGGTGGAGGATTGGTGGGTGGGGAAAG